TCAGGTTTTGAGTTTCATAGCTGCAGTAGAAAGAAAGTGAGAATTTGCTGTTCTTGCTCTTGCTTATCTGGTTTCCAGAACTTGTGGAGCAGTAACCCATCTATTTTAATGTGTAATGAGAAAACTGACTCAAGACTGCTTTCTCTGTTATGTGTGTGGGAAAGGAATCAGAACACCTGACCAATTTACTGTTAGTACTGCTTTTTGTCATAGCCTGAAGATGTTGATTTCTTTTGGTGTCTTAGATATATTTCTGTTCTTCTTCGCAGTGTGTCATACTGACTGAAGTAAGCCTGCTGCTGCAGAAAAAGATTAATGACTTCTGTCATGCTCAACAGCCACCTATTAAGGTAATAGAAGTAAAAACATGAATAATCTGTACAGTGAGCATTCTGAGTCTCCAGCATGTTCTATCCAGAAATGGGGAAAGCTGGTTATGAGGTGTATAGTTCTATGCAGATAGCATGTTGATCAAGCAGTATGAGTTTTGGGAGTACAATACTCATACTTTGTACATATATATGGTATTATCTGGGTACCAGCCTGGGTAACCATAGTTTGGTTCTTAACAACAACAGAAAATTTCTATGAAGAAATAGTTTTCACTGTTTACTTATAATAATTCTGAAAGAACATGCTAAGACCAAATGTAACAGTGGTAGAAATGGCAGTATTTCACTGTACGATTCTTGGGTTTTGTGTAGGGGTTCAGAAATGCTCATGCAGGTTCAAAGTCTGTCATGAATGCTGTGCTATGTAGTCAGTGGCCTGGGTGCACCTGACAGGTTTGCATGATAGAAGGTAAACTGCTAGCCTTGGACAAGGTTGAATGAGAGAGGTCGGTCTTTTGGCTTGTGCTGCTTTAGGGATACTCATGGGTTTTACTTTCTCTTGTAGTTCATCAGTGCAGATGTATATGGAGTATGTTCACGTTTGTTTTGTGACTTCGGTGATGAATTTGAAGTGCTGGACACAACGGGAGAGGAGCCAAAGGAGATCTTCATTTCAAATATAACGCAAGTAAGGGGTAGAAGTCCCTGTGCTGCTTTATTTTTTTTCTTTATAATGACTTGTTATTGGCTCTGTGACCAAAAGGACTGAAAAAGTTATCATAGGTAACTCCTTTGTTATGACAGAACTAATGTGCTAAAAGTATTAAGAGGCTACAGTCTCAATAGGTGAAAAGCTATGCGTCTACAATAAAGCATGACTTCTTTACACAAGACACTTTCCTCATTGCTAACTTTGCCATTTTCACTTTTAGTCAAATCCTGGTATTGTCACTTGCCTTGAAAATCATCCACACATGCTTGAAACAGGGCAGTTCTTAACCTTTCGGGAAGTAAATGGAATGTCATGCTTAAATGGATCCACACACCAAATAACAGGTAAAATGTTGCTGACTCCTTTGCAAGGTATTTATTTTTTGGTCTCTTTTAGCTTGCTGTAATATAAGTTACTGTAGCCAGAGGAGTGCAGACCTCCAGTGAGCTTGCACAGAAAGATCTGCTTTTTGGTGCAGAGGTCTTCCTAGCGTTGTCTTGACTCCATTTCCATTTATTAAAGTCTTTCAAAGTCATCTTGCTGCTTAAGTGGCAGTGGAAACTCTCAGCTAGTGAAGACTGGTTGGCAGTCTCTGAAGCTACTGTCATTAGTTTGCTCATGAAACTCTTTTGTTTTTTGGAGGGTCCCATAATGCCTGTACTTTTATCATGGTTTTGGCCTAAATTAACACCGCTTTGTGTGTCACAGTTTGCTTTGTTTTTTGGGTGACAATGTAAGCATTCAGGGATGCCCTGACATCTGTTTCTAAGCATGCTTTTGAAGTGATTCTTATGATTTGTATTTACCCTGCTTTGGTCTGCATTATGCATGTCTCAAGGCATAGTACTTGCTTCCTTGTGGATGCTGGGTAATTGCTCAGTTCCCAGATCTGAATGCCTGTTTGTCTCAAGCAGAAGAGAGAGCAGGTGGGTGGGGGTTATTTTGTGGTCTGAGACAAAAGCAGTACCCTTGAACATGGTTGAGTCTGTTTTCTCCAGACTCTTTTGTTTTGCTATTGCTGATGCTGTGTTCAGTTCTTCCTCTTTTCCTCTAAACACAGCTCTGCTTTTGGTTTCAGTTTTCCATGTATTAACAATTTTGGTGTCTTCTTGCTTGATCTGAATGATGCTCCAGATGGTATAAGAGAAGGGTTTTGACTTAAATGCTTCAGCTGCCCTTCTTGTTTGCCTGTTGTTTCAGTCACGGGGTTGCAGTCCTAGTCTGAGCAGTGTAGTGGACTCTGCTGTGCACAGTCTAAACAAAAGTAAGAGTGATTTAATTTTTGTTACAGAGCTGTGGTCATCAGAATTCTTGTTGCATCTGCTGCCACTTCAAAAAGCTTATTTCATAACGGATCATGTGAGACTAATACTTTAGTCCAGAAGCTGGCAGGGAGAGACAATCCTGTTAGGAGGATCAGCTGTGTTTATGCTTTCAAAGCAGGGTTGCACACTACAAAATTCCAGCAAAAAAAGCACTGGAAAAAACACAATTTATTGTATACAGAATTGTAGCATCCAATGACACTTCTAATTGTCAGTCACTGTTTATTTTATTCTCTTTTCAGTGGTGTCACCTTATTCCTTCAGCATTGGTGATACGTCAGATATGGAGCCTTACTTACATGGAGGCATAGCTGTCCAAGTGAAGACACCCAAGATGTTTTACTTTGTAAGTGTGTGCTTGAGATAACCAGGATCTTGAGTGTTACTGGTATGAGTACTGGAAGCAGAGTTCAGCAGATACATGATTTAGTTACCCTGATTTGGGTTTACATTAATTTTACTGGGTAAGAATAGTGGTACTGTTTTACTAAACCCTAGAGAACAGGAAATACTTCAATTATCTGCCAGTTTAGAGAGGGAAAAGAAAGTCATGGACAGCCTATTGTTGTACTTCTGGGGACTCCAAATATGGGATTTCTTGGTGGTGTTCTGAGAAGAAGAGACAGATGAGTTTGTATAAGATGGGTTGCAAGCTACATGGTGCTGTGTGCCTTCTTGGGCCTGCAGAAAGTAGATCCTGGCAGCCCTCAAACATGCTTCTAAAAAGCTGGGAGTGAGGACCAGCTGCTTCTGATCTGAGAATGCATAGCTCAGTATCTTGTCTCTGTGGAGCAGTAGCTGCTGCTTCTTATTCTTGTTCTTCCTGAGTGGGGAAGTTCTGCAAGCACACATCCACATTTTTATTGCCTAAAAAATCTCTGGTAGTTGACTTCAGAGCAGTTTGAAATGGGTCTTGCCACTAGGATGGGAAACATCTCTTTAACAATTTTTGTTTTGCAAAACTTGCAGTAGGTGTTTATTTTATGCAGCTTTGGTGACATTAATAATGGAGAGAGTAAGAGCAATGCTAGTAAGAAAGGATATTTGGTCTGTAGTCTTTCCAGGAGGAGTATTGATTTATCAGGTAGCACCGACTGTTGTATCCTTAAGTGGGTTTGTTATCATGAATTCTGTTTTTCCAGGAGCGGTTGGAGAAGCAGATAACAAATCCATTATGCCTTGTTGCAGATTTTAGCAAGCCTGAGGTAATTAGCATGTGGGGATTTGGGTGTAAGTGCTTTATTGTTAAAACTACATGGAATGTAATATGCAGCTTTATGTATAGAACAATATTATTTCCTAGCTCTGTTCTGTAGTAGTTAAATATGAGTGAGATATCAGTTTGTGTAGTCACACAGAATATACATTATAGTTTAGATCAATGTAGAGGTTTGTTATCCATGATTTGCACCAACATATTGAAATGCATGGCTCAGCCACCTCTGCTGTTTAAAATCTCAGTTTTTGAAAAGTCTCTCTTTCAAGGGAGTGTAAATTTTGCAAGTGACACAATGTTGTTTGGTTGATAAAAATCACACTGGCATCAAAGCTGTGATAATCATAAAAAGATGGTCATAGGTTGGTTAGAAACTGCAGTTTAAAGCGTAAGAATATTTTCTTTTACCTTTGAAAAAATGATTCAGAGTTATATTTAAAATCTGATTGGAATCTAGCAGTATTTACCTCTAGCACCGTTTTAGTTAAGTGTTAGGGACATGCAAGGTCTTGGGCTTATTAAAATCTTAAATTAAAAAAATGTTGATCTAATAATTTTTTGGAGGCTTTTTTTGGGGGTAATGTAAGGTCTCACTTGCCTTTTCAGATTTTCTACTTTTTGTCTCTTGATGGTGGGTTTTGATACTGATGTTTGGCAAAATGCAATGCATATTGGGGTCTAGTTAAAAGAAGATTACTGCATTTTTCAATTGCAGCACTAAATTCTTTTGGGAACTCTTTAGTTGGATTTAGTTTGAGTGCTGAATGTGTATGAAGGGCATTGCATTATGACTCAGTAATAATTCATAATCTCAGTTTGTAAAATCATGAGTGAAAGGTGTTTCAAAATAAATCTTTAATGTTATTTAATTTTTGTTTTTTGAGTGGTATGGTTAAGAGATAAGGAAATGAAATGGTAACAGAAGAGTTCAAATAGTTGCTTTTGTTTCCTTCAGTTTTTGCAGCTGTTGTTGTCTTAACAGGCACCTTTGCAGATCCATGTTGCCATGCTTGCCTTGAACCACTTTCAGGAGAGCTTTGGTCGTGGACCAAATATTGGGTAATGCAGCAATCTTGTCTCTGCTAAGGCTTGAATCAGGGAGATCTCTCCATTTAGTGTAGTTATGGGTTTGATGTGCAGCAGGGTACCTTGTCTGGCTGGTACTTAATAGAAGGCATAGAAGTGAAAAGTTGAAATCTAGATGAAAAATGGTACCTAATGCACGTCTGGTTTGTAACAGGACTTTCCCAATATAGCAGTGGCACTTTCTGGGTCTAAGTAGACAGAAAATGCTTTTGGAGGAAGTCCTGCTCTGTTTCAGCTTTTTCACATTGAGGGGTTAATATGGCAAAGTTGTTTCAATGTTTCGTGACTTATTCTGTATCTTACGGATTTAAAAAATACTCCAGAAGGTGTGAAGTATTTGTTTTTTATTTTCAGTATGTTTTTTCAGATGTATTTCTTAATGCACATAATTGAGTTCAGCGAGACAAAATTACTTAAAAAGTATAAATCTTAAGACTGGACTTGCACATGGGCTTCTCCATTGAGACTCCTGTTCTTGAGCTAACTGTAACCTTCAGAAGTGCATACTTAATGCTCACTGTTAAAGCCAGTATAAATTTCCGAACTCTTCCTACTGTATCCAGTGCCTTTTTTTGCCATTGTGTTTCTAGAAGGACTCTGGAATGGTTAAATGGTCATTATTGTTTCTACCCTTGTGTCCAGATGCCTCCAAGATGCTGAGGAAATGCTGAAAATAGCCATGTCTGTAAGTGAAACACTGGAAAACAAAGTAAGTAAGGAACTGTAGTCATTATGACTAGTTTTTGATGCACTTGTTTACTTGCCTAAGGCCATGCTTTATTTGTTGGTTATTGTTCTGAACTTTGTATCCTTCTTTAGATGGATCAGCTGGCTTTCTGAAGGCCAAGTGAGGATACAGAATCCGTGTTTCAACATGGATTCAAATAAATGTTCAGCTGACATGAAGGCTGAATCCTGTGGCTATGTGAAGCCAGTGTTTAGATAAATGCATATTGGAAGTACAGGGTATACAGTGGATCTGTCTTGGCTGGAAACATTTTTGCTAGTGAAAGAATTTATCTGTCTTATACTGGAGAACAGAATAATCTGTGAAGCTGTCAAGCACTGACTTGCTCAATTGAGGGGATAAATCTGTTGTTGTTATGTCTTACTTTTCAGCCTCAGGTGAATGGAGATGTAGTGAAATGGCTGTCTAGGACTGCTCAGGGATTTCTAGCTCCTCTGGCTGCAGCAGTAGGTGGTGTTGCGAGCCAGGAAGTCTTGAAAGCAGTAACAGGAAAATTTTCTCCATTGCAGCAGTGGGTAAGGCTGTCTTTGGTTTTGGATCTTTCTTTTGACAGTATTGTTATAAATGTATGGTTGATCATACACATGTATGCTGTATGATCAGAGTAGCCTGAACAACTTCAATAATGGGGTAGAGGGGTGGAGAGGAGAGACTTGAGACCGAATTTAGGAAAAAATATAATGCTGTTATGTCTACAATAAATGTGCAGCCAGCCAGTTTTGCTTAAGTTTTTGTATTTGGGATTCAGACATCACATTCTTTTTTTCCCTCACAAGCAAGGAAAGCACGGGCCTACCAGTGCGTGACTGTAAAGGTGTGAGGTAGTCCAGATGCCAGCTTAAGCTACTGTACATATGAGCAGTGCTTTCAGACTCTCAGAATAAGCGTCAGAATAAAGTTAGATTAAAAAGCTTCTTAGTCTAATTTGGAGGTGTGACATGCCTGTCGGAAGTCAAAAGCTTGCGGTTTACGATTCAGTGAGCTTTTTTTCCCTCTCTGACCAGGTGCTTTTTCCTGTCCACTAAAATTGTAAATTAGGAACTGATTGCTGTCTAGTCTTCCACTAACAGTAAAAACTTAATGCTTCTAAATTTCTAGACTCTGTTGTACATTGAAAATACTTACTTTGGTTTTCAAATGAAAATACCGTGAATGACTTTCACAGGTTTTTACCGAGTCATTTTCTTTTTTGTTTTACAGCTGTATATAGATATGTTAGACATAGTAACACCTCTAGAAAAGATGGGATCTGAAGAATTTCTCCCACGGTAAATATACCTACAGTCTGCTGTTTTATGTACTGTTCAGATCTGAGTCTCAAGCAGGCATAGAAGAGGTCTTAGTTCAGTACTGTTTGCTGGAGGGACAGGTTTGGGGTTCAGAATGTGTGTCCTGTTTGAGTATGGGAGGAGTAGGAACTATAGGGGACTCACTCTGATTTTCTTAGTTCATGTCAAACTGCAGTCTGGCATCAATGATGATAAATGGTGATAAATGGCAACTTAGTAGTTTTCTATTTATGTCTCCTATACCTGCATAGGGGAGATAGGTATGATGCCTTGAGAGCTTGTATTGGAGACTCTCTGTGCCAGAAGCTGCATGATTTGAATATTTTCTTGGTGAGTATGACTGACACTTAGACTTTTCAAATGCTTTGTTGATACAGCTAATGTCCACTGTCTTCCAAATAATGAAAGCAGCCCTGATGATGTGTGCTGCTGCAGAATAAATGCTACAAAATTATAATGTGACTTGTCTATTATACTTGTCTTCATGGTGTTCACTTATGTTTCTGACTCTAAAAATGTTTTCCTTAGGTTGGCTGTGGAGCAATAGGCTGTGAAATGCTAAAAAACTTTGCACTCCTTGGTGTTGGTACTGGGCAAGACAAAGGATTGGTAAGTCACCTGCAACCTCACTTTGCTTATTAAAAAGTAACATGACAAGGAATAGTTAAACAATTAGACTACTCAAAAATGCTGAAAATCTCAGTTTTACTTCAGGCTAATCTCTGAGCAGAGACTAAAATGGCCTCAGCATGGAGTGGAAGTAGTGTGCAGTTAATTAGAAGCAGAACACACTTTGAGCAGTCTTGCTGTATTTTGATATTAAAATGAAATTTAATCCATCAGTATAGGCAAAGCTGTTAGCCATAGTGGATGCCAACAGTATTGCTTTGCTTTGACAGGTTTCTGCAGAGCTTTCATCAGGATTATTGCTCAGTGCTATGTTTTAATTGTAACTTCAGTTGTTGCTTTTACCCCTTCTGACTTAGGTTACAATTACAGATCCAGACTTGATAGAGAAATCCAACCTGAACAGGCAGTTTCTTTTTCGACCTCATCACATACAGGTAGGCTTTCTTGTTCAGTAAACTTCCTGGACTGTTGTTCTGTTTCCCCATCCTGTGTCCTGACAGAGAGCTGAACTTGTGAGTGTATGTACCTTTGTCCAGGAAAGAGATAAAAACTGTAATGAAATCCAGTATATTTTAAAACAATGCCTAGAACTACGTTGGCATCCCACTTATCACTAGTATCCATTGAGTAAAATTGGCTGGTCTGATCTTAATTTGTACTCATACTTTTGACTAATGAAATCTCTGAAACTTGAGAACTGGATAAAGAATACTGTGTTGCGTAAGATGCTGCTATGGGTTAATATGCCAGAAACACTTTACTCTATACCACTGAAATTGGGGGAGAATAGAACAGCAAACAGTAGACAGCACTGGCAGAAGTGTTCTTAATAGCAGTGCTACTGTTAATGGAACTTGACTGAAGTTGCTATTTTCTGACTTCAGTCTTCATTAAACTGGCAAATAACTTGGAAAAAAAAAACATACATTCAGTAAATGTGTGATTCAGAAACTGTTAATTCTGTAGAAGCAGAGAGAAAATATCCATGTACTTACAAACACAACACAAAATAAAACAGGTGTCTTAGATCCTGAGAGCAGTGGGGAAAAGGAACTCTGCTGCCCAAAATCCAGGAGCTGAATTTTCCACCTCCTGTTTATGTCTAGCAAATCTGGGAATGGATTACATTTTGAATGAGTAGATAAATGGAAGGTGAACTCTTCAAGCTTTCAGAAGCCACAGTCTTAAGTTCTGCTGTTCTAAGTGCTGATCCCTAGAAAATTGAAGGTAGTATGGCTAGAAATGTCAAGTAGGTTAAGAACTCTATTTCAGTTTAGCTTCTGAAATTGGCTTTGTGTGGAATGCTTTGCATTCCACATTAACTAATAATAACTAATAACTAATATAATAACTAATGGGCTTATCCTCTTGACAACCATGAGCTGGTCCTATCTTACGGCATTTTGGGAGCATGAGAGGCAGCATGTGGCATCAGTTTCAGTTACTCAATACATTTCTGCTGCACTACTTCAAATAAAACTAAAATAAAACTAGATGAGTACGATATTTATTAGTGAGGGAGGTACATGATTAAAGAATTTCCTTCATTGTATGTTTTGCATACTAGCATTTCTGTCAGTGAATTGTTTTCTGATCAGCAAATGAAATTGATAATTCTGTCCCAGATATTTCTTATCTGAATATCATTGATAGATATATGTATTTATACTTTCAGAAACCTAAAAGCTATACTGCAGCAGAAGCAACTCTGAACATCAATCCTTACTTAAAGATTGACTCATATATTAATAAAGTTTGTCCAGCCACTGAGAGCACATACAGTGATGAATTCTATACCAAACAAGATGTGATTGTGACTGCTTTGGATAACATTGAGGCAAGGAGATACATTGATAGGTAGGTTGTGGAAAGGAAGCGAGGACTGCTTTTCACATTCTTACGGGAACTCTTCCATTAATATTCTTGATTGCTATTGTTTATAAGATCTGAATTGCTCAGATTTATCTTGCTCCTTTATAGGGATGCTGGCTGGGGGGAGGATGGGATTTATACTTGTGGTGGAAACCAGCTCTGCTGTTGTGTGGCTCATATGGTTCACACGGCAGAGTTTCGGAGTGAGTTCTTGGACATGAATAACTGTCAAGGTCTGATGAGGGAGGGGAGAATAGTGTGGCAGTCTTAAGGTTGAATTATTTTTTGTGTAAGAATGTGTATTTAAATTTATAAGTAGGGGTGTTTACATTTAGAAAGAATTACTAATGCTCCTAATCCAGGTAGGCTCAGGTTTACAGTATCTTGATCTAACTTGAAATAGCTCTTCTTAGTTAATATCTTATTTTTCTTTATTTATAAACATTTAATCTCTTATCCTGAGTTTGGTATAAGCTTTTCACTTTTCTGAAAGTGTCTAAAGTCAATTCTGTGATTACACTCTGGTAATGTCTGCAAGGCAGCAATGTAGTGATTACACTCTATTCTGTCTTTCCATGTCAGTCGTTGTGTAGCAAACCTGCGTCCTCTTATAGACTCTGGAACTATGGGAACGAAAGGACACACAGAAGTTATTGTGCCACATCTGACAGAGTCCTATAATAGTCATGTAAGTGTTTTAAGATCATTACTTCTCTTCTGTAGCTAGTCTGATAATGCCCTCTGATTCTTTAATCATTCATGTATGTTTCTAAAATAAGTGGCCTATGTGAGCTGCTGAAGAGCAGTACTATTAGGAAATAATTACTTCCTTGGTTTCTGAAGAAAAGCTCAGAGGAAATAAAATTTGAGCAGACTGGAGATACAATGTTTGCTACCTAGCTGATGATTACACATAGGCCAATAATGAACCTTCAAACTCTTGCAGTATCCTGTGTAAGTTCTTACAAAACTGCTTTTATAAGGTAGAAATTCACTGGTTGAGGACACCACAAAATGGTGTACTTGGGCACAGAGACAGGATTTCGAGTGTCCTAATGGTCCTGATAGGGTTCACAACAAAAGAAGTGTTTCTGGCCTTGAGTGAAAGAGTGAGAGCCTGTGTGAATGCTGACTGCACATCCTGGAAATGCTGGCTGCTGACTTCTTCTGTTGTTTGTGTTTCAGGGTTCAGTTTTGTTTTCCAGTGTTGAGTTGAACTGTTCTTCATAAATAAGAAATGATGTTAGTGTTCATAAACAAATTTTGTTCTAAGCATAAATATGCCACCTTGTATTTTATAACAGTTTGAGTTTTAAGTAGTCTAAAAATTCTTGGTGCTATTATTAGCAGTAAACTTAAATAAATCTGTATTTACACACAACTTTACTTAATTACAGCGGGATCCACCGGAAGAGGAAATACCTTTTTGCACCTTGAAGTCTTTCCCAGCTGCCATTGAGCATACGATACAGTGGGCAAGAGATAAGGTAAGGGAATAATCTTACTGGCATTGAGCATAACTTACTGTGTATTTGGAAGCATGGGGGATATGTTACACTTCTTGAAAAATGCCGTATTTGTTCTTTTTATTTTCTAGTTTGAAAGTTCATTTTCTCACAAGCCTTCATTGTTTAACAAATTCTGGCAAACCTATGCATCTGCAGAAGAAGTTTTACAGGTAGGGGAACATTGCCAGGCTAAAATACAGGGTTTAAACTGAAGCTGTATGGATTTTGATTCTATTTAAGTTCAGTGAGATTAGAATTATTTTCTGATTTTATTAAAAAGAACCTGAAGCCTTCTTTGGCCAAGTCATTAGTTGAACAGTATTTCTGGCATGTCTCATAATTAAGAGCCAAAGTCTCTCATGCATGGGCTCCTTCCCTAGCTCATGTGTGCTCTCTATACAATATAGAAATACCAGAAATACTGAGGTACTTCTGGTGAGTGTATAGTAGATGTCACACTGATGTGGAACCAGCTGGGAAAAATGAAGGGAACACTTAGTTTCCACTGAATTCAAATATGTAATAAATTAGACTGAATTGTTTAATATCTATCTTTTGTGAGTCTCTAATGGCCTACTGTCTGTAGGGCTGGGTAGAAATAAGTAGACCACAGTACCTAAGGAAAAACCCAGTGGAGAGATCACATAAAGGATAGTATTTCACAAAGTAATGTCTCTTTCCTTTTGCTGTAAATTCCTAAAAACATATTTACTGTTTGACTGGACTGGGAGGAATCTTGTGTGTTTTAACATTTTCGTATTTCCTTCTTTAGAGAATAAAATCAGGGGAGAGCTTAGAAGGCTGTTTTCATGTTATTAAAACACTCAGTAGAAGACCCCGAAGTTGGACTCAATGTGTAGAACTAGCAAGAGTAAAGTTTGAGAAGTATTTTAGCCATAAGGTAGGTAAGACCTGGAAGTGAGGTGGCACTAGACTGATGGGGATCTTGGAAAACTTGTCGATGTCACAGGAAGGTTGGCTGAAATAAGAGTCAGTCATTCTAAGAATCTGGTCCACAGTGTTGCTTAAAGTGTATGTGTGTATAATTTTGTAGGAATGATGTGATCATGATGCTTTGTGTTAATGAACATACAAATCTGTGCATATATCGCCCTGCTGGTAGTTGTCACATTGAGAAAACATTGCATTCCCAATTGTGAATCGTATGCAAGAATCCTAAAGTGACCACAGAGTGGGGGGAATGCTTTGCTCATTGGAGTAAGTGTTTTGC